CCCATTAATTCTAGAATTGCCAAAAAGGTAATCCATAATCTTGATTGTCCATACCCGTGAACCGGTGACACTTTCTGCGGAAAAACGCTTTGTGGCTTGTTTAGCGAGTATCTTTGCCTGAATAGATCAGTGTTGGTGATCCTTCTGTGTCATCATTTTTAATGCAATACCTTTTGTCGTAATGATCTTGCACTCGCCAACTTTCCTGTGCGTAACATTCGTTTACGTGATCCCTGAAAGCTTCTTTTAGAATCTAAGGTTTGTTTATGGCAAAATAGATACCTTCGGTGTTGCTGCTACAGATGCCGCTGCCTGCTGCTTTCCTCCCCTAGATTTCTGTTTTTTCTGAATTCAGAGAGCGTTTTCTCAACAACCTGCAGAGGCATGCAAGCTTACCCTTGAAACCGAACCAGCACGTGCTGGTTGAATATTTTCAGTTTCTGCTGATCCTACTTGTTTTTGATCACGTCTGAAGAATTCCAGTTCCTTGGCCTTTTTATCCTTTTCAATTTTCTCTTTACTGGGTAGGTTAGGCAGAATGCCCGGTTCTTCTACTATTGTGAGAATCACTCTGTCATCTTGAGATTTCGAAGCGATCGCTGTATGCAGGTCATCTTCTTCTATCTCGTCCGCTTTCTTCTTTTCCTCTTCATTCTTCTCATCTTCCTTCTTTTCCTTTTCATTCTTCTCATCTTTCTTCTTATCCTCTTTATTCTTCTCATCTTTCTTCATTATTCCTACAGGATTTGTCCAGTAATCTAGGGTGACCTCATCCTTGGAATTATAGTTACTTCTGCCTTGCTTTGCTTTCGCCAAATCGTTTTCTTGCAATTTATTTTTTTGTCGTCGTTCAAGAAATGTAGGTTTTATATTGTTTTCCTTGTTCTAAAACCAAAAAATGCCTTAAATAACTTTCAGTTGTTTTGGATGAAGAAAACTAAGGTGATTGAGATGTTATATTCGTTAATTAGTTGTACTTACAGATATTAAGCTAGGAAGAAAAATCTGAGAATGTCGAACGTTTCACTAACCGCTTATTCGAAAGGCTGTTTTTTTTAAACACAAAAATCGAAGCAATGTAATGTCTTCTGCTATGTCTTCTGCTAAAATTTTGGCAGATAGGAATTGGTTTTTTTTCCCACAACATATCCCGAAAACTGGTAAGAAAGGATAAAGGATAAAGGATTTGGCGTCTTCAATACCCT